TTATTTATAGAGCAAGGAAAAATATTTTTACTTATCAACTTTTCATATGTTTTCAAAGATTATGATATCGCAAATAGTAGAAAATTATTTTTTCTGGTTATTTTCAAGTTTTAATATCATATTTAGAAAAAAATATCTAAACTAAATTGTATAGATTAACCAAAATTCTTGTAGCTATTAGTATTTGATAGTTGGCAAAAGCAGCTCGCCTTTAGGCTAATGCAAATATGTTGAAAACGTTCACATTATGTCCAAAAATTAGTATTTGATATATGCAAATACAATTATCATTTGTCTCTTGCAATCTTATTTTGCAAATACTGATTCACAGATTTTACTGTGGATTTCAGATTTCAATCTACGTACTAATGCTACTAATGTGATAACTGTTTTTAAAACCATAATTTCAGAAACTTTCCTAAAGACATACAATATCCAATTGTACATTATATGCCATAAATTCACATAAAAATGTAATTATTTTCGCTATTTCATATTTGAAATTTTAAATTTCGCGTACGTATTTTTGCAGTTAGTCAGGTGACTACAAATCGGCACCTTTCGTGAAACATCGTACGATACCGTAATTGTTGTCAACTCACCTTCAAATGTCACACTGTCATGGCTTTCGCGTTCGGTTTTACCCGCTTTTTGTATTTGATGAACAAAATAATTGAATTTTGTTTTTAGTGAATTAAGTGTTTACATTGAAAATAAATTTTATAAATAAAATATGACGGACCAAAATCGTGTGCGCAAGGTAAGTGGTTATATTAATTATTTGTACAAATGTGAATTGACGTTATTAAAATGGTTTATTTCCTTTTTAAAATAAAGTACGCTAAGAATTATTTTTGTGTTCTAAGTGACATATATAATCGGCTTGGTATAATAATAAAATTCACTTATAATATCAATTATTACGGATTATTTGCAAAGCAAATAGAAAGTATAGTACAGTAGTATTATATTTTTGAAACAAATTAAGCTAAACAAATATTACTTAAATAATTGTTTTTTGATATTAATATTTTATGATGACAGTTTAGCTTTAAGTATAAAATTTTTACAGAAGTTTTATATAGCTTATTATTTCCAGTATCGGCTGATTCAATACTTTATTTAAAATACATAATTCACGCTATTTCATATTATCATACAGGGCTGGAAAAGAAAGTATTAGTCTTTTAGTTTAATAAAATACCTTGCACAAGTGTACATTTTAAGGAAGAAATATTTGACGATTGGTTTCCCCAGGTGAACAACAATATCTTTATTTTCTGTTATTGTTTATTCAAATTTTACTTTAGCAAGGCACATTAAGACAAACAGTTAGGGAGCTACAGAATTTGAGGTTATCTGTAAGAATATTCTTTGAATACAACTTGTTTAGAATTGGGTGTAATAATAGAATACATAAAACTACTTTTGCTAATGACGTTTCTACGCTGTTAACTTTTATTGTAAAACATGTCATTTACTTCTTTTTATAAATTATATTTTTATTTTCAAAGTTACATTTTCAAAAAAATGCTCATATTTATCATTATTACTTTAATACAAAAATATTTCTTTCATTACCACACTGCCTTTATGCAAGACAGTTAATTTATGCTTGTGCAATTGAATATTCATTTGCATTGTGTGCAATCAATATATGTAAATTTAGTTTCTAATTATGTACATCAATATAAATTGGTGTATAATCTATGCACTGATCATTTTGTTTATTTTTTTATTTACAGCACAAGTCCAACAAAACAAAAAAGCTGCTCAGAACAATGTTTTGCAGCATAGTCATGCAGCTATTAATACTGTTTCGAAAATTTTTAGATAAATTTATTGATTATATTTTCTCTTTGTACTGGTCGAACAAAGAACAACCATTATCTCCTTTGGAAGATGACTATTTTGTAATGGAGAGTGCAGTCAGTATTGCTAAAAAAATTCGTGAACGCAAGTTAACATCTGAAGAAGTTGTAACTGCATACCAACGCAGGATAAACAAGGTAGGATTTCATAATAAAATTTTTTTTTGAGTGTTTTTTTAAATTTGATAACTTTTTATTTAATACATTTGTATTATGTCTTCTTTCTTTAACAAATAGAAGTTTGTTTCTTATAATAATGCTTAATTTATACATATATTTGTTTATTGTTTCATATCATTTTTAAAAAATGTAAATATTATTAATACATTGTCATTTCATTGTCTATTGATAGCAGATAAAAGTGGTCATATCTTTTATCAAACACAAATATAAATATTCCAAATGAATTTGCAAAATAAAGATCTGAAATCTCCATCATTTGAATCATTTTCAAGATCAACAATTTAATGTATGAACAATATTAAGATAAAATAAAAGTTGTTAGATGAATGTGACTGTATATTTCCTTTAATTTGTATTTATTATTAATTGGGAATTGTTATCAAAATTGGGATGATTTATTAGAGACTGTGGCCTGATGAAAGATCACAATTAAATATTGTTGGTTAATAGGATATAAAAAATTATTTTTAATGGAACATTGTATACTGGTCTAATTTCAGGTCAATTATATCTTAAATGCTGTAGTCGACATGAGATTTGATAAAGCACTAGAGGAAGCTAAAGCCATAGACAAAAAAATTAACAACGGAGAATATACTGAACAGGACTTCAAGAATAAACCTTTTTTGGGTAATATTTAATTATACCTAAAAAATTTAGAACTATTATTAGAGATGAATTAAAAGTTTTCGAAAATTACCATTTATTGCTTCATCATTGTAGAATTATCTCTAAAGTGAAAACATAGTTTAAATATTACAAAAAAAAAAATCTAACAAAATAAACTTAATAGGAGTTCCTTTTACAACAAAGGACTCCACTGCTGTTGAAGGATGTTCTCATACTCTTGGATTAATTTGTCGAAGATATATGCGTGCTGCTTCAAATGCTGAAGTTGTAAGATTAAGCATAGAAGCCGGAGGTATTTGTTTGGGTGTCACAAACGTTCCGGAGGTGAACAGATGGTAGGTACATTATAAAAAGATTCAGCAATTAATTAAACTGTAAAATATAATTGTTTAACTATGTAAAAATATTTTTAAGAAGTATTATTTCTAAATTCTTTTATTTACATTTTCTATTATGTAAAATGATATCAAATTTCATTAGGCAAGAGACATATAATAATTTGTATGGTTTAACTAAAAATCCATACAAATTATCTCGTACTGTTGGAGGCTCAAGTGGTGGCGAAGGTGCTATAGTGACAGCTTGTGGATCAGCTTGGGGATTAGGAACTGATATTGGTGGCTCTATTAGGATGCCTGCTTTTTACTGTGGTATATTTGGTCATAAACCAACATCAGAGTTGACTAATATGAAAGGTGATTATGTGATCACATTTACATTGAATACTTTTTATAATTAATGCAACTATGTACACTAACAATTCTATTTGATTTTTAAGGTTGTACATTCCGAACTGGACAGGAGACCAATACAATGGTACAAGCTGGTCCTATGACTCGTCATGCTGAAGATCTTTTGCCCTTGCTAAAAATTCTTGTAGGTGAAAAATGCAGTTTATTGAAGTTGGATACTCCAGTTAAAATGAAGAATTTAAAAGTGTACTATATAGAAGAAAATCGCGACATTAAATGCAGCTCTGTATGTCAGCCATTAAAAGAATGCCTAAAAAAGTAAACTTAATTATAAGACATGTTATTTTCTGATACCTACCATATTAACACTTTTATATTTCAAGGGTTGTACGTGAACTCGAAACAGTATGTAATGAAGTAAAGCCTGCATCAGCTGAGGGTATCGAATATTCATTTAGGTTATGGCGCTACTGGATGACTAAAGAACCAGCAGATTTCGCAACACTTTTGAATAACGGAGATGCAAAAGCTAATGGCATTCATGAACTGCTCAAAAAGGTAACAATTCGAATATTGAATATGAGTGATGCAAATTTTTACATTATTATTTTTATAGTGCATTGGACAAAGTGATTACACCATGGCTTCTATTTTGAGTTTGCTTGATAGCTGTCTACTAAAGCCAGAAAATGCCAAATGGGCTGAAGAATTGACAGAAAAGTTGAAGTCATATTTTGAGGTTGCTTAAATTATTTATATAGAGATTATTATTGCAGTATTATATAAAAAAAAAATGTTTCAGGAATTATTAGGCTCTGATGGTGTCCTGATATACCCGAGCACAACTTTCACAGCACCTTACCATTATTCAGCATTTTTAAGACCATATAATTTCTCATACTGGGGAATATTCAATGTATTACATCTGCCTGTTACACAAGTACCCCTTGGATTGGATAAAGATGGACTTCCATTAGGTGTTCAAGTAGTGGCTGCTCCATACAATGATCACCTTACTATAGCTGTAGCTTCAGAACTGGAAAAAATATTTGGTGGTTGGGTCCCACCATTTGAAGTATTACCTTCGTAATTAGTCTTGTTTGTGCGCAAATTTTTTAATTATAGAAATTTACATTGTATATGCATTTATGTTGCGGGATATTTTTATGCTTCTGACTGCAATGTATATTTTATTTTATTGGTGCTTCACATTCCATGTCAATCTTACATTCTTATGTTTAATGCCTATAAATGGTGCTTGTATTAATATTCTTATATGTATGTTTTAAGATAAATTATGTGTATTGTAATATTTATTTAAACATGTTTTACAATTTAATATATGTATATTTTGTTAATACTAATTTGTTTTATTACTTTGTTGCATGTTTTAAAGTATTAAATCGTTCCAGTTAGAATCATATGGTTAAAACTGTATGTATGAATTAGAACAATAAGTCTAACGAGATGTCTGATTCTGGTTAGAGTCCTTAGGGGGGCGCCTCAATTGTCAGTAAGGAGCCTGTTTTGTATTTCCGTAATGCTTCGCTAGATGTCTCTGGTAATTGGCCGAAGTCGATAATAGTTCGCGCGTGCGACGGCGTGACCACCCGAGAAACGTCGTCGGCGCTCGAGCGCTTGCTATCGAATCGAATCGAATTCAGTCCTCCTGTCAGTACTTGTTCTTGACGCGTTGCAATAGGGTATTAATGTGTTGCTCCAATAATTTCTATTTTAATTGATTTGTGCACTATGGCTGAAAGTGAGGTAATAAATAACAGTGTTCAATTTTTTGAGGGAGTGGAAAAACTTCTCGAAATTTGGTTTGCCCCAAATGAAAAGAATAAAATGGCAGATTTGCGTAAAATACCAAGGTTAGTAGCAGAAATTTCAAAAAATAGTATTAAAACAACATTAATTGGTTCCGAAAATTAAGTTATGTTACTATTTCTATATTTTAACCGCAACTTAATTCATATATTTAACAGAATTCAATATATTGTGTTTATAATAATCTTGTAATCAAAAGCCGGATTCGTAGATTTTGCAACTGTAAATTTGTTGAATAACGATTAAAATAGAAATATATCAACTAACTTTTTGGATTATCATTTCATTGGACAATATATTTATACAATTGTAATGTGAAATATATTATTGCATAAATTGTTAGTGGATGCATATTATGCCATATTATCTATATACAAAAATCATATTCTTTCTTCCGTTGACACTTAACAGTTTAAATATATTTATTTATATAATGGATTGTAATTTATATATAGATGCTGCATTAATTCATTCTTTAATTCTAATTTTATATACAAAGTTCTGATAATTTATGCAAATTGTTTATTGACATATAATTGTATTTATTCATACGCAATTTAATTATATATATATATATATATATATATATATATATATATATATATACCACATAAACGAAAACAAACATTGCATAATTTTCTAATCTTTTCGGAACCATGTAGATAAACTTAGAAACTCAGGTAGGATGCTTATATTTATTTGTTTGTGGCATTATATATATATATATATATATATATATATATATATATATTGTGTTTTTGGGCAAGAAACAGTCTTTCTTGTAGTATCGAACGTTTCGAGCTTTTATTTGACTCATCTTTAGTGCATATAAATGATTAAAAGAAAAACACAAAAATGCGAACACTAATTATTATAGCACAGAGCTATATGACAAAAAAAGCTTTTACTTCAATATTCAAATAAAATAAATGAAAAGATTTATAAAGTACAAATAAAATAAATATAAAATTTATTTTATTTTAATGCTTAATTAAACATTTTTTGTTATATAACTATGTGTCAGTGTTTGCATTTTTGTTTTTTTTTTCAATTAATAATTATTTGTATACATTGCTGCTACAATGAAGACATTTTTCTTTATTAAATTCTGTTAATTATTGGATGAATGTCCAAAAACACTTAATATATCTTTCGCCACGTAAAGCAATATATATATATATATATATATATATATATATATATATATATATAATCTGTCTACATATTATCTTGAAAATATACCATATTTGATACAATTGCACCAACAGTTCCCAAAATGCATCAGAATTGTTATCTTCATTCTAATGCTGAAATATCAAATGAGTAGGAAATTTTCATAGTATAAAGTCATATCAAAGTACATAATCATTTTATAGATTTTTAGTAAAAAACGGATGAAAGCCAAAATATTAAGCTAAATTAGTTTCCTACTATATATTGTGAAGCAGTAAAATATTAATGAAAATAGCTCGACTTAATTCAAATTTTGTATTTGTTATGTTTTGCATTGGATATAAAATAAATCAACAACCAAGCATTATCTTATTTAATCCACATGCATGTAATTTTCATGTACCACTCTATTACATTACATTTAATAATGCAGAATATAGAAATTTTTGCTGACCTTAGACATCATGCTATTTGTGAGCAGAGGATTTTTGTAATATGCAATTATGTTAGCTACATCAACTTTTAGACATTTTGATCGATTTGAAATTTCTTTTGATTTGCTTATTATAATATCTTTAACATTTTTTGTTTTTAGCTCTATTGACGTTTTATTTTCACGTAATTTTGATCTAAATTTTCAGATTTTAATATTATACTTAAGATTCTTAACATTCTTTTCATTCCATTCGCATGTTTGACCTAGTGCAACTATTTTTATGTAATAGTTATAGAAATGTATACAATTTGTATACATTATAATACAAATATATAAGTATATAATACAAATACAAAGTATCAAAAGTTCTCTTGGTTTCCTTGGATTGAATCTTTATTAATTTTGACTAACAAGTTATGTAACTTTTGAAAATGTTTTCAAATATTCATGCGGACGCATATTCACATCCCTTAAGTAATCTTTTGTCTTCAAATATTTACATCTCGAGAAACTCGTATATGTAGTATTTAATGAAACCCAAAATTAGGAGAGGAATGAATATGACAAATTTCTTAAAAAATATGTAAATATAAAAGATGATATTTTGAGCAATTATTTCTATGATAATCTTTTCCTATTTTTTTCTATCAGTTTACAATTATTTACTTCCTGTAGGGTAAGTAATCGCAAACACATTTTTCTATACCTTTATGTTTCAAAGGGTTCGCAACATTTTGACAAACTTTAGAATAAAGAAGGTTAGAAACGTACTCCAAAGGTTTCGTAGATAGAAAAAAGGTTTTAAATAAATAGCGGTCAAAAATAATCATTAGGCATATGCACATCAGATTATAAAATATTTTACAGAGATTTTAATAATAAGTACAAATAGTTTAAAGCCGGCAGTTTAGGTTAACCGACTTGAATGGGTTTCTTGAATATTTTCAAAAAATTTCAAAATTTTCAAAGTAGACCATATTTTTTAATGTCAAAATCTGAAAAAAGGTTTTTTTTTAATTTTTAAAAAACGCAAGTTTTTTTTAAAAAAATCTACTAAGCTAAAGTATTAAAATTAAAATTAAATATTAGGTTGTCAAATATCTCCCTTCCGCCTTTTTGTATCATAAACCAAGAGCAAAAAAGCGGAAGGGAGATATTTGACAACCTAATATTTTAAATTGCGGTACGGGAAGTACCAGCAATTTGCCTTTAGGCACGCACCACAAGTTTATTTTTTTAACTTCCCGTAGGGCAAGTTATAGTAATCGCAAAAAAATCAAAAATGAAAATGTTTATATATCTTTACGTTTCAGAGGTTTCTGAACATTTTGGCATACCTTAGAAAAAATGGATGTATGTGTGTGTGTGTGTGTGTGTGTGTGTGTGTGTATGTATGTATGTATGTATGTATGTATGTACGTGTGTATATGTATGTGCGGATACAAATTTTCGTCGACGATTTCGGAAACACGGATCAACCGATTTGAATAATTCAAAAAACATTCGATTCGTATTGATAAGGAGACGTGCTGATTAGTTTTTGGAGAAGGCAGGTCTAGCCGTTCCGAAAATACGGGGCAAAAAGTGCCAAAAACGGTAACTCAGTTTTTAAGAGAACGGAACGTCCGATTTGAATAATTCACTTGTATTGACAAGATGAAGAACTGATAAAATTTTCATGAAGGTAGGTCTAGCGGTTTCGGAGATATGGAGGAAAAAGTAAAAAAATGAGCCATTTGGCGGTCAAAAATGATCATCAGACATATGCACATCAAATTATCGGATATTTTATAGAGATTTTAACAATAAGTATACATTTTGTTAACATTCCTATGGGTTCCGTACCAATGCTTATGCGTTAGACAGCGACGCGGCGCTTACGCGCCTTATATTTTGTCCCTATGCAGTTAAAGCAGTACGATTGCTTTGAAAAAAAAATTTAGATCTTCCACAATATGTCAAAATAGAGAAAAAAATTTTTTTCAAAAAAAAAAATTAACAAAAAAAAATTTTTTTTTTAAATTTTTTTTTTCAAAAAAAAGTAAATTTTTGTCCAATTTATAGTTTCTCAAAAATCTTATTTTTTTAAAGTAAATTTTTTTCAAAAATGTTAATCGTTTTTAAAAAAATAATAATTTTTGGTACGGGAAGTTCCAGCAATTTGCCTTAAGGCACGATGCCTTAATTGCCTTAAGACAGAATTCCACTTACAGCTAGTTTATATAGAAATAGGAAATCATCTATACTTTTTATTTTTTATTTCAACCTGTCAATCAGCCCTTCAATAGCAATAACGCCGTAAAGAATATGTCAAATGCATGTGCCTTTGCTTTCTAAAAATAATGTTTGCTTGTCGCCGATATATTGAAAGAGAACTTATTCTAATAAATACTGCTTTTGGATTACATATTATTTAATTTTAACTTATAAATATTTAATATCACATTCGCTCTGGTGACGTTTAAAACGTACCGGAATCGAATCGCATTCATACCAGAACTAGTGGTGTATGGCATCATGCCTTAAGGCAAATTACTGGAACCTCCCGTACCGTAACGAAATGTTCGAGAATATTAAAGATTTTCAAATAGATTATTATAAATACTGTAACATTGTCTAATATTTATAAGAATTATGTAAACTGAATTGCAAAATTGAATTTATTTATTTAAAGCATATAAGTGAGCTTTCGAACTTTAGCGAGAATTAAAATAAAAATCTGAAATATTTTCGATCTACGAAAAAAAAATTTTTTTTCATAAGCAATTGTTTCGTCAACACGAGCAGAAAGTTTTTTGAATCATGAAAATCGGATGCTTTGTTCTCTCGAAAACTGCCATTTTTCGTACAGTTAGCTCGGTATCTTTGAAACGGCTGGACCTGCCTTTGCCAAAAACTAATCACCTCTTCTCCTCATCATTACGAACTGAATGTTGTTTAGATCATTCAAATTGGATTCTCCGTTCTCTCAAAAACTCGATTTCTATTTTCTACACTCTTTGCTCTGTATCTCCGTAACTGCTGGACCTGCATTTGCCAAAAACTAATCAGCACATCTCCCTATCAATAGGAATCGAATGTTTTCGAAAACACACATGCACACACACACACATCCATTTTTTCTGAGGTATGCCAAAATGTTCAAAAAACTTCAAAACGTCGAGAAATGCAGAAATGTTCAATTTCGATTTTTGGACGATTACAATAACTTACTCTACGGGAAGTTAATTATATATAAAGAAGCATCTCGTAATATTATGCATAATATGTAAAAATAAAATCGGTATATGTACAACACGAGGTCACGACTTTAAATGTCTTAATATCTCTTCACGAGGCGCTCATGTCACTTTATATAATATATTATATACGTATAGTAATATATGTATAGTAAAATGTCATTTCATTTTTTTGCACAATGTTTTTTTGAGAAGT